TGGTCGTAACCCGAAATGTTCGTTAGTAGAGGCGTTCGTATCCCGAGGTACCACTGTACAACAAAGAACCTATTTCCAACTTACAAAAACATATTGTTGGGGAAATTACAATGGGAAGTAATTTTTCAGGAACAAACAGGTCAGAACAAATATTCTATTGATTGTACATAATGTATTATTTATTATGATAACTAACTGTAGCAGTATTCATAGCAACAGAATGGAACTTAGGAACCAAACAGAGGTGTGTGTTTTTTTAAGGGATTAGACTCAAAGCCACTGAATCACCACTGATGACCTCAGCCCACCAGGAAGAAGGAAGATACTTGGACAACTAACCACCACACCTATGCTTTCTCCTTGGGCACTGACATACATTGTGAGATGCCAAATCATGAATTTACCTGAGTAAACCAATTCTAGAATGATATATCTGGATGCCATGACTGATAGACAGGTAGAACAGCTCAGATATAATGGGAGAATATGAGGCTGGTGAAGTTGTGCCAACAGAGAAGGCTTAACAGTGAAAGAATAGCTAACCAAATTGTAGGAGTCTAGAATAACTTCATATTTAAAAAGTAAATCTAATATAGAATTTAGTTCTATTCTATTTCCATTTTTAGACTGCAATTTTATATATGGAATGGTGCCATATCCAAAATTCAGGTTTTAGAGTTTGTATCTTGATGTACGATCTACATGTAATTTACAGTATTGTCTTAATACTGTAATTATCAGCTATAGCTTCTCTCTCTCTCTCTCTCTCTTTTCTTTTAATTATTTGAACTGTGTTAGCCAAGTACCTTTAAAGTTTCATAGATAAACGTTTTGATTAGAAAATGGTATGAAATACCTTATAGTATTAAAAGCTTTTAATAATGTATTAGAACATATTAGTCATATGATATTTCAGATTGGTTGACTATTCACTCATATTTTACCCCTTACCTTTGGTTTTCTATATGTATTATATATTTTTACATTCTTTTAAATGTGTACTTGTATTTATATGATCAATTTCCTTTACTATTTTATAAATATATAATTTTTAAAAATGAAAAAAAGAAATAAACTATTCCAAAAGGGAAAAAACGGGTTTGGGGGAGGAGTTGTGGATAAGACAGGGGCAACTTAGGGGAAAGGCACACGTGGGCCACATGGTATACCCCATACATCTATGGTCATTAATGGCACCAGTTTATCCCAACTTCAAATTTGGGGCAAAGGTTTCCTACCTACTGACTTCAATGGAAGAGGGGAAATAATTAAAACATGAACTGCCAAGCCACATCAGTATCAATCACAGCACAGTAACATACAAAACATACACCTAGGGAGACCAAATGTAAGGGCTATATAGCCCTTACCTTTTCTAAAGTAGTTCTATTTCTCCTATACTGAGAAAAATAGCAGGAAGAGAAGGAAAAATCACATGGAATACTGCATAGCATAATAATCTGTAGAATGGCTACTCGTTTCCCCTCACAGCTGTTAGGCTAAACTAGTTTGGTTTTTCTATTCCCTTTCTCAGTTTAGGGTCCATGGTAGCCCTTGAAACATGGCCTTTCGCTCCTCAGCCTTTGCCTAAAGTAAACAGAGCATCTAAATTAAACAGAGCATTATTACCAAGGCTACCGGATCACCGCTGATCTTCTCTCCATCTTCTGGCTCTACATCCAAAGAACAACAATATACAGTTAGAGCAGATTAGACTGAAAACAGACAGACAGTCAATATGAAGATGTTTACTTAATGGACATCCCTGCTGCACAGATATGCAGCGGTTGACCAGGGGATAAAGGCCAACACAAGATAATCAAATTGGCATTATTTGTATTGATTTTTATCTTTACTGCTCATGGATTATCCTTTCTTAGCATTATCTCTGCAGGCTTTATTATTTCTGTGCTGTTCCATAATATTAGAGTCCTTTAAAATTAAGGAACTGCATTTTTACTGCAGCATGGATAGGGAATTTTTAGGCGAGACTGAGGATTGGGGAGAACGTGGCCCTTCCTTCCCCTCCCTCCCTTCATATATACAATACTTTTCATCTGTTTCCTTCCCCCAAAAAGAGGGAAACTATGCCACCAATGTTCAACAATCAGTCACCAAGACTGCCTGGCCTGATACTAGAGTAAGCCATAAATAGAAGAAATAAATGTCTACATGCACATATTTGCAAAATCTGTCGGATGCAATGAATATGTTAATAAAATCATTCAAGAAACTCAAAGAAACAAGGCAAGGCACACGTGGAAAGGAAAATACACACTTCAATGGTTAGTCTGACTGGGGTATTGTGGGTTTCAGATCAGTTAAGCGCTTTTTTTTTTTGAGAAATAAACTTCTTTTTCCTTTTTCCCCCCAGCACTTATGACAAACAAGATACCTACACCTCCAGTCCCTATGAGGCAGGACAGGCTGCAGGAGTAAAAATACAAAAAATACAATTAATAAGAACCCTGTGTCTGGACATCCAAACAGGAAGAATAAGGATGTTTCAGAGTTATAATAGACTGCAAACTTCAAAAAAAGATAATACAGAAGATACAGTTTGAATCTTCAAATGGGCTATGGAAATCCTTGAGTTTCTTCCTTCTGCTTGTTCCCTTCTCCATGGATATATCACTAACCACCTTCAAAGGCCCCAAATGTTTAAATGTGGACTCCTCCTTTTCCCACACAGTACAGCATATCAGCATCAGTGCTAGACTCACCTTCTGTTTCATTTTTCACAAGGATGATGTAGTTGCAGACCAGGTCATGATTGTTGTGGAACATCCGCATCAGAACCACAGCATCTTTGATGCTCACTTTCCCATAGAATTTCTCCCGTAGTCGGCGGACACTTTTCTCCAACTGTACCAGAAAGATGAGGTCAATCAAAATGTAGAATTTTCAGAACCCTGTCATATTTTCTTTCAGGACAGGTTTACTCCTTACAGCCAACCCAGACTTGCTGCTCAGCAGTTAGATTTACAAATGCATTTATTTAATTTATTTAATCATTTATTTAAAACAAGCTGGTGGATGAGTATGAATGTGAGCAGATACAGGAGATACATTAATTCTTTCCTCCCTTGTGGTTTTGATCAATCTCTCCTTTTGACTACTATTAGCACAAATGTGAGCTTTCTATCCAGATCAACAGATAGCTGGGGGAAGGGGATTTTTTATCAGGATTGAAGCAGCGGAGGAAAGGTTTCACACACACATAGGTGCACACATGTATGTACACACACATACATGCACCTTTTTTCCCCTAATACCTTTAGTGTATCTAGCATCATTTCTTCTTTGGCCTTTACTGAGCAACTATCTAGAATTTCACCAGTTTTTCCAAACAGTTTGCAAATTTGGTTTGGAAATATTCATCAGGAAGTGCATTCTTTCCAATGTCTGAATTAGTAAGTAACAGTACAGGTAGTCCTCACTTAATGACCACAATACAGACCAGAAAATTAGTTGTTAAGTGGGGCAGTTGTTAAGTGGATTGGACTCAATTTTATGACCTTTTTTGCAGTAGTTGTTAAGTGAATCACTGTGGACATTAAACAAATCACGCGGTTGTTAAGCAAATCACACGGTTCCCCATTGATTTTGCTTGCTGGAAGCTGGCTGGGAAGGTTGTAAGTGGGGGTCACATGGCCCCGGGATGTTGCAACTGTCGTAAGTGCAAGCTGGTTGCCAAATGCCTGGATTGCGATCACATGACCACTGGGGTGCTGGGATAGTCGCAACTTCGGGCACCAGTCATAAGTCACTTTTTTTTAAGCACCATTGTAATTTCAAATGGTCACTAAATGAATGGCTGTTAAGCGAGGACTACCTGTAACAAACATGCCAGAGTTCCCATTCCCCAACAACAGGAGTTAATTTATGAATTGGGGTACCAAGAGGATCAAAAACAGAAGCAGGAAGGCTTCTCTGTACCTTAGGATACTTTGGTACTTTTGTAAGCTTAAACCATGTAGATGTAGAGCAAACCATAACTTGCTGTGAGATTTTCACTGAGCAGGCAATGTGGACTTTGCAAAACTGGAAAGCTCATCCTTCTCGGCAAATGTCCCATGTGCATGATAAAGCCTTCTTCAAGTCAAAGCTGACTCTCATGGATACATTCATGTCATTTTTTTACAGCAATTTGGAAGTAGCTTGCCATCTCTTTCTTCTGGGAGTGCTTATTTCAACTTCCCAGTTTAGCCTACAGCCCTGGGATTAACTGGTAGCCCTCAATTATGTACAAGTCAGGTCCAACCCTGCTTAACTTCTGAATCAGCCAAGACTGTTCATATATATGTATGTGTTTATATATGTGTGTGTGTGTGTGTGTGAGAGAGAGAGAGAGAGAGAGAGATTTTTATAAAAGAAGTTTTTCCACAGAATAAAAACTACAAATTTTAAGTTAAAGATAAGAGAAATAGAGAAAAGTAATAGAAAAGTGAAAAAGAAATAAAGAAAAAGAGATAGAAAAGAAGGAAAATGAAAAAAATAATAATAAAAAAGTGGCTTCTGATCTTCTTAACAGCAGTTATAAGTACATTTATATTTTACCCCCTCTCTCTAAGGTTACATCAAAGTTTCCTACTTTCCATAATCTACCCTTTCTAATCATCAAATCCATAAAGCTTCAGTTGATTTTTTTCTTTTTTCAGCAAAAAGTCCATAAGGGATTTCCAGTCACTAATAAATGTAGTAATTGATCTTTCTCGAAGAAATGTTGTTGTTACCATCTCTGTTAGTTCTCTCAACTTCACCAAACATTTAGTAACTATTCTCCCTCTGTAAGGTTATTCTCTCTCCCTCTGTTCTCTATTCTCCCTCTGTAAGGTTACAAACAGATATCTCTTCATCCCATATTGAATCCCTTATCGATAAGCAAATCCATAAAACATCAACTTTTCAATCCTGGTGTCAGCAAGAAACCCATAAAGGGTTACCAGAACTTTGCAAAAAAAAGGTCTTATTTTAATCTTGATCAAATAAACCAACTTTATATTCCTTCCTTTTACCTCTAACAGTCTTAATCTTTAGTACATTCAAATATTGTGGTAGGATTTGATGTGCCTTCAATTTTCTTTATCCCATCACACAGACTTCTTCAAGGGTTTAACAAGACTCTTTTGTAGATCCAGTAAGAAAATGTTTTCCAGATCATTCTCTTGGTTTGTCATTTGTATTTCCCCTTTAATTTTTAAAACTTTAGCCAGTTTCTTTTGTACATCCAGTAAAGCATCCTTTTCCAAATCATTCTCTTGGCCTGTCATTTGTATTTCCACTTTTGGTACTTTCTGTCTTGTCAGGAAAAAAATTGCTCCACGTCTGTCATTCCTTCATTAATAACTTTTAGACAAAGTCTATCCACAGAATCAGATATCATTACAGACACTGTAGATATTGTAGCTACTAATTTCTAGCTCCGTTCTTCAAAGATCTCCTTTAATACTTCCAATGTTATGACGTTTTGTGTCATTTTGTACATCCCAGTACTAACCAACACCAAAGCAGGCTTGTATTTTTTTCCTTCTACTTAGAATCTTTAGTCCCCTTTAGTGTCCAGTTTCTAAAACCATAAAGTCGCTTATCTTTGTTATGACTTACAATAGCCAAGATAGCCAAAATATATTTGGTTCCCAGGAGAAGCTATTTATTTTTTACAGTTAACTCCAAAAACCTATGGTAAAAATTTCAATATTCCAAATTTATCTGGACCCTTAATACAATGACAATTGTAATTTCTCCAGTCTTAACATGTCCTTAATTTCATTCCATGTCTTAACATAATTATTCTGAAATAACATACAATTCATATTAGTCATAGTACCCAAGTATTTTACTTTTTTCTCAATCTTAAAACCATTTTTTCCATCAGTTTCATTTGGTTTTCCATTTCCATATTCTTTGTTAGCATCTTTATCTTTTGGTTATTAATTTTAAAACCAGCTAATACACCAAAATCCATTAGTTTTTCCATTAATATTTCTATTCCTTCCAAAGGATCTTCCAAAATTATGACCAAATCATCAGCAAACACCCGTAATTTATGTTTCCTTTTTAATCCTCAATCCAGTAATTCTCTCATCATGCTTTATGTCTCTGTTCAATACTTCCAAAACTAATATGAATAACAGTGGTGACAAGGACAACTTTCTGTATCTCACAAGATTTTGTTAATTCTCCATTTACAATTATTTGTGCCTTTTGTGAGGTATAAATCAATTTTACCCATTTAATAAAATCCTTACCAAAGTCCATGTCTTCCAAAATTTTAAACAAGAAAGTCCAGTTCAAATTGTCAAAAGCCTTTTCTACATCTAGAAAGATCAATGCAGCTTGTTTTTCATTAAGTTGTTCTAGTTATTCCAAGCCATGGTTGTTCCTGAAAGTGTTGCAAGTTGCTGTAGGCAAGTTGCGTGAAATGCAACTTTATCATGTCACAAACCTGCCTTGCTAATCCTCTTTAAAGGACGTATCTTCATGACATCTCCTTTGCCTCATCCAAGCCTGCCATGGAGGCAGCCTAAATGGGTCTTTAACTCTTCTGGTGTTGTGGTAGCGTTTTCCCACTTCTCCTGATACAGAATGGTATTTATTTATTTATTTGTTTGTTTATACGTCATATTTATATAGCCGCCCATCTCACACAAAGCAACTCTGAGCGGCGTACAACAATTAAAATAAAATAACAAGTGAATAAAAACAGGCATCATAAAAAGATAAAAAGTTATCATTAGGATAAAAACATTGTCACAGATTTTAAAAAACAGATATCTGATGAGGTTGGTGATGACAGGGACAGAGTGGGATCTGCCAGCTCCTACTGCTTCCTTGAAGCTGCTGAGCTTCCCCAGTTGACAAACTATCACAGAACTGAGGAAGGATGTGGGGTGAATTGGGTGAAAGTTCTTCCAATGAGCCACAGAGCTTCTCCATGATTCATCTTGCACCTTTCCTCCACCCCACCAACCTGTCAGCCAGACTATTTGGGGACATGAGAGCACTAGGCCCATGTTCAGAAATAGCCCGTGTGACAAACCACCAACAGGGAGCAGCTCCATGCCAGTCACCTGTTTTTCAGGCCAATGGAAAACTGGCTAAAACCTCCATCCCCAACAGCTGCCCACACTTACCTAACCCTACATTAAGGAGAGCAATCGGAGGCTGTTTCGCCCACCAGTTTGTGATGCTCAGTGGGAAGGGGAAATGAAGCTGAGGAATCCACCAGTCACTGCCCTTAAATAGGGCTGCCTAAAAGGACGGCCGCAGAATAGAGCTTGGCTGCCAAGGCAGCAAAAGTCTACTGCTGTATTCTTTTTTTTTTTTGCCAACTCAAGCACTAGAGGAAAGCCCATTAACCCAGTAGCCTGGCGGTGCCCCCAGTTCCCCCAGCCTTTCCAGAAGTGTTTTCCAGACACCTAGAGGAAACTTGACAGGAGCAAATAAACAGACCACTTGGCTTGTGACATGTGTTGTGTCACTGTCCTCTGGCACTTCTAGAAAGGGAGGACAATATCTACAGATTGCATCAGCATTGCACCAGGGACTTTTCCTGCACCTTTGCCCCTGCCTTTAACAGTTTACTCAAGGTAAACACAACTCTAGCTGGCTATTCCTGAATACAAAGCCACCCCTTCAGCTGAAAATCAGTGGTGGGTTTGGAGTCTGTTCGCCTGCTGAGAACTGATTCCTCTTTTCTAAAGAAAAGTTGGTTGTGCTTATGCCTGGTGTTTTTGAAGTTTTCAACAGTAATGAAACTATTGGTTGGAGGCTGAGCGCGAGCTTGTAATTTGCATTTGTTAAATTTAACTTTGCGCAGTTTGAAAGGGTATTGTTTGGCCTGTGCATCAGAAAAGAGCAAAGCTAGCCCACAAGTAGTAATCTAAGGAGAACACAATATTCTGTTTCCTTGGCAGATCGTGACAATTATCATCTTCATCGGTATCCTAATTCCATTCCCCCACTGCCGGGCAATTACATCTTAATTCAAAATGTGAAGAGCTATTCAGAAGTCCCAATAAACCATTATTTTTTAAACCAAAAATAATTCTTTCTTTCAATCAGCCTGGTTTGCACATACAGTAATAGTAAGCCACAATTTTTAAATTTCACATATCAGATTAAGCCAATGCCAAATTACTTTACAGTTTAGTGCAGGGGTCCCCAAACTCTCCAGCTCATCGACCCCTTTGTGAAGTTTCAGATTATTCATCAACTCCCAAAACAATTATATGAAAATAATTTAATAAATACTACTTTAACTAATAGTTCTACGAATAACAACAACAATGGATAGTCCCACTGATGCTTGGGGGTCAGTACTGATCACTTTGGAGAACCTTGGCTTAGTGTAATAGGTGAACCCAGGCTCTGCCTCCATTCACATAAAATGCTAAACCTTTTTTGTGTATGGATATTTAAATTTACAAAAATCAGTTTTCTCTCTGCCTTTTTAGATGCAAGTACCAGGAGTCTAGAAAGAATGTTGTTGTGTTTTATTAGTGCAGACAAATTGTAGTTACCCTTAATTATCCTTTACTAAACTAGCTTGTTTTAATTTACAAGACTGTGATGTCAGTACAATATGTAACTACTGCTTTGTTAATGAAAAATAAGACCAGAGAAACAATGAAAGAAAAGATAAGAGGGGGAAAGGGAAGTCATGCAGGCTTAAGGCTCACACAGGATTACATTTCTAATGCTCAATGTAGCATACAAACATATCCAGAATATCAGCTATGCATTTTTCTTTTTATGGTTGAAAACCTATTTAGCTAACAAATATGCTCAAACCTCAGCTTGCATTCCAAATTTACATAATTAACTGACCCCATTAACATGTGTAATTTCAAACACACATAACCCAAGCTGCACAGCAAGAAGAACCTCAAGACATTAAAACGGTAGTGAAGTAGATAACCAGTTTAGTCTAGTGGTGAAGGCACCAGGCGAGAAAACGGGAGACGGTGAGTTCTAGTCTCGCTTTAGGCATGAAAGCTGGCTGGGTGACTTTGGGCCAGTCACTCTCTCTCAGCCTTGGGAAGGAGGCAAGGGAAAAGTGCTTCCAAAATTGTGCCAAGAAAACTGCAGCAACCTGTCCAGGTGGTGTCAGGAGTCAAGACTGACTCGAAGGCACCAATAACAACAAAAAAATGAAGTTTACTGGCCTGTGTTTTCCTGGCACTATGGCTCAAAACAAGTTAAAGTCATAAGCAAAAGCAGAACTTTTCTTTGTTTCAATGCCATTATGATCATGCAATCCTCTTCCTTCTTTGCAGTAGGATTTTCCTATGTTTAAAATTAATTTCAAGGCCAGGGGGCCATGGGATGCAATCAGTTTTGCACACAAACAGTTTATGTTTATCTTCTTTCTCTAGGCAATGAAAGTGTGCAAGCATATTGCAGTTCTATTAATCCTTGGGGCAAACACATATTTTTCCCTAATAAACTCCAGGCCACTGACAGAGCAGATAAAGAGGCCTAAATTGCTGAAAAGTGGGAGGTTTAGGAAAATGTACAGGAGAATTTTGGGATAGGTTTGGAAATTGTCTCTCCTATATTCACTAGCAAACCTGTGTCTGGGAACTGCATGTTTACAAAGCACACAGCCTTGCTCTTGACAGAACATATTTACATCCAATAGTGTGCAAAATGTTTTAAATTCAAACTGTTTTGTATTTAAACATGCCGTTTTGAGTCCCAAACAATTGTTTCAAGTGCCACACAGCTGTTTTGCATTAGAGGCAGACGGTTCCAATCACTTTCTCAACGAGTCAACCGTGAAACAACCCTATTTTGAGCTGAACGCATTTCCAAAATGATTGAAGCAGTCCTCTTCAAATTTGAATTTGGTATTTTGCACAAACTTAAGCACTTCTGCATTTTGGACCTTCCATGTTTATGCTGATTAGGGCTTGTTAACCACCTGCCCAAATGCAGTTGCCCCTGGATAGCAAAATTTGCCTCCAAGCCACATTAAAAGTTTTAGACAAATGTAGTCAGTCATTCTGGCCACTTTGTTTGAGCTCAGAGATAATTAAATAAAAGTTACTGAGTAGCTATAGGAAAAGAGTGATCTGTAGGTTCTAAAAAAAGAATTGTACCTTTGTGAGACATTTTATTTATCAATTCTTTTCATATCTTTTAAAACTGACTTCTAAGGCTTTTAAGCCTTTCTAGCTTAAAAGATATCCATATATATCATTAACAATTATTGTTAAAAATTACAAATTTTAATTTAATTCTATGTGTATTCAGGCATAACTCATTGCAGAGTCAGAAACTCTGCAATAACTGATAATCTGCTGCTACAAATATTTTGGGTGGGAACTTGAGCTATCCACACACATATAAAATTCTATACCCTGGTATTCCCTGTCCTCACCCTGACACCAACAGTAGAAATTTGAGGCTATTTTCCTGACGCAATGACTGTTGTTCTCTTTTCTGTTTGTCTTTTATTGACAGGTTGCATATGGGATTTTTTTTTTCTTTGTCCTTGGTTGGGCAAACAGGCTTCAAAGGATGGCAATTTGAGCAAATGAAAAAAAAGGTTGTGTAAATCCTTTTGCCCAGTGCAATGTACAACATTAACCATTTCCCAAATGTCCTATCCTATTACTCTTTGTTTGTTTGTCCTGATGCTCTTCTCTCATGGCTTCTCTTCTGCCCTACAATTTTACTATCTCTACAATAATTTTTTCTTCAATGTGCCCAGTGTGGAGCCCATGGAGCATAAGGAAAATTAGATAGTGATAGGCGGAGGTGGGGTAACAACCAACAAGGAGATTATAACAGAATAATAGGGTATCCTATTTCTCATAAAGGTAAAGGTGGTTTAACACTGAATATCAAATAGGATAGATTCCATACAACAGCTGAGTTCTGGTTATCACTTTTGGAAACAGGATACTAAATGATAAGAGCTGTTGATCTGATACTGAGGCCCTTTATTAAAATTGCCACCAAAATCAACTGCATCCTGCCCCTAGAACTGCAAAAATCTGGATGATCCGTGGCTGGCAGTAAGGCACTGGGTCCCTCTTTACTGCCCTCTAGTGCTCGTCCGGGTTTTTAGAGGCGAGAACTTTCTCGCCGACAGTTATTACACAGAAACAGCCTTCCTCGGACCTGTCCTATTCCACATCTGACGGGAAAACGATCCCACCCCCACCCTCCCAAGCCAGCAGGATCTGATGCTGATCAAAGATGTTACAGTCTCCCGCCTCTGAAGGAGCATCGGCTCGTAGGAATCTCCTTCGCAGGACATCGACCAAACACTGCAAATTCCTCCAGCCCCTTTCTTTAAAATGCAGTCGTCCTCTAGCTACTGTGAAGGGTAATGCCTACCTCCACCTCATCCTGCCTGTCCCTCCGGTGCATGGCGCTGCGGGCGAGGGATCGCTCCAGTCCGCGAGAGTCGCTTCTCCCGCTTGAGGTCGGTGCTCCGTCCCGCTTGGGCAACGGAGGGCGGTACAGGAAGCCCGCCAGGCCCTGCCCGGCCCGGCCCAGGCCAACCCAGCGTTGCTTTCACTTTCGATCGGCTCAAAACAAGGGTCCGCCCGGATGTTCAGTCTGATCGGACTTCCTTCCTCTCTCCGGCGAAAAAATTCGCCACAGCGACGCCCCATCGAGCGATGCGGTGCAGGAGCGAGCATCTTCCGGGAATTAACACGGCTGAGCCCCTCTGGATCCTCGGAAAGTCACTCTTCTTTCGGACGCCGCCCCCTCCCCTCAAAAAAAAAAACAAACCGATTTTGCTCTTGCGTTTGCAATTCATCCCATAGCATGGGATTGTCCCCGCGAGTGGCGAGCCGGCATTCAGCAGGCGCGCCCTGCCCGCCTCGCTCTTCTCACCTTGGCGCTTAGAAAGCGGTACCTGCTGGAGGTTCCTTTGTCCCGTTGCCTCAGGCGAGCGCGTCTCCCCGTTTTTTGACGTGCGAACGTATTAATAGGTGTTTCGGTAAAGTCGCCTTACTATAGAGGTCCTTAAGATTTTTCGATATCTATTTATTTATTTATAAATACATATATACATACATATCTCTATTTTTTATTTTTTTATTTATTTATATCTGAATAAAGGTATGGGTATTTATCTGTTTATTTATACCTTAATTAGGTGTTTATCCCAAGCAGCCTAGGAGCTCAGAGCAAGCGTCTTTTTCCTTTTCCCTACCTCGTTCCTCACTCCTCCCCCAGCTTGTCAACACCCCTGCAAAATAGACGTCGATGGCAGGCTGGGTCATCCTTTGAGTTCATGGTTGAGACCGCTATAGGGTCAAGGACTACTGATTTTATTCCTACCAACACACACACCAACACACACACATACTATACCCTTTGCTTTTTCCCTCTGGATTGAGCATCATGCAACTGGCATAAAGTACCAACACACTTCTATCTTGATTCATTCACTGTTCTTGTTTAGTGATGTAATCTTCGTGCATTCTCTCAATACGATCAAACCATTGTTAACGTAACTCCATTCATACTGGTCACTCACTTTTGTAATCAATCCAGTTCAGCACCCTATCTCTTCTTGATTTGTCATACACACCTTCTTAAGCCCTCCATTCCTCCTGCATTTAACTTAACTTTTATGTTTCTCCTAACATACTGTCACTTCCATATAACAAAATGGGTAGAAAACATGCTCTTATAAATAGCCATTTGTATTTCTTTTAATAAACATTTGTTCCTTGCAAGAGACCTATACTTCACACTACCTTTCTACCCATCTGCATACTTTAAATTTTCCTCATCCATTTTTCTGTCTTTAGTAACCATTCTATCAAAGTACCCAAATTCATCTCCATGCTCTTAATTTGTCACCATTTATGTACAACTTCCAATAATTCACTCCCTATTGTCTGTCAAACTACTTTGCCTTTTTGATAGATTAATTTTCAGAGCTATATTCTTTGGTAAATCATACAGTTCAATATTTGCCACAAAGCAATTGGATTCTCAGCCAACAGTCCAGCATTATCTGTATTCACATCCCCAACCACCACAATATGAACATCCTCAGCCATAAATTTATACTACATCTGTAGCTGGAGCACTGTATATAGTTCAGGTTGCCACACCAGCAAAAGGATATAATGCAGCTGCAATAAATATAGAAGAAGAGAATCAAAAAGTTAAGGGGCAGAATCAAACAACTTCCCCATGTTTTGGACCCCTTAGCTTGGGAAAATATGTGTGTGTGTGGGAGAGGATATGATTGAGGTATATAAAATAATTGTAAGGCACAGAGAAAGAGCTATGTTTATACCTCCTGCTGGTAAGCAACCCAGAGGGATTTGGTTGGCCACTCTGAGAAAGAAAATGCTGGATTAAGAGGGCCATGGCCTGATCTAGAAGGATTTTTTGTATGTACAACAAACATTCCGTATACATTTCTCCATAAATATATTAAATAATCAAGGGGACATCACACATCTTTGTCTTACTTCCTGCTCAGTGTTGAAACAGGCATTCCATTTATTCTTATGCACGCATTACTTCCACCATTACTATTGGATCAGGAAGCTCTCTGGTCAGTCACTCATGCCTTGGTCATCTCTTGGTTAGACTATTGCAATGTGCTCTACATGGGGCTACCCTTGAAGAGTATCCAGAAGCTACAGCTGATTCAAAGTGCAGTCCTGCAGACAATCTTGGGTGCCCCAAGGATGGCACATATAACACCTTTGCTGCAGGAGCCGCATTGGATGCCAGTTTGCTTCCAGGTCCAAATCAAAGTGTTGGTTATTACCTTTAAAACCATACATGGCATGGGTCCAGGTTACCTAAGGAACCATCTCACCCCCATCACATCAACCCATCCCACCTGGTCAGGCAGAGAGGGCATGTTGTGGATCCCATCAGCAAGAGAATGTTGGCTGGTGGGACCCAGGAGGAGAGCCTTCTCTGCCGTTGCCTCTGCCCTTTGGAATATTCTCCCCTCAGAGGTGCAGTGGACCCCTACCCTCCTGGCTTTCCAGAAAGGACTAAAGACCTAGCTCTGCCAGCTTGCATGGGGCAATAAGAATACTAATCAATCCTGGAGGTGGCTGGTGCCCTGATGACACTCCCTGAGCTACTCACCAATTCTTGGGATTTATTTATTATTTATTTAAGACTGTTTTTATATTGTATTTCAATTGATTTTATCTTCTTTGTAAACTGCCCAGAGTCATTTTTTAACAAGATGGGCAGTGACAAATTTGATAAATAAATAAACAAACAAATAAATAAATAACTCTTATTGCAATCAGCAACTAACCTTCAACTAAATCAACAAACATGTAATACACTTTCTTTCCCTCATCATACATTCCTCAATGCCTTCCTCAAGATCAAAAATCTGATATGCACATCTCCTGCAAGGCATAAAACAGCACTGTATTTCCAAATTTTATTCTGACCCTTCTCATATCTTTTCAGTCAGAATTCTGCCAACCACTTTCACAGCACACTTAACTAATCCTGTAGTTTTAGCATTCATTCTTGTTATTCTTTTCCTTTTAGTAAGGGAACATCAGCAATATTCTTCCAGTCATTTAGGCATGGATATAGTCTTCAAATATATGTTAAGCAAGTCACAAAGCTATGCTACAAGCAAACCGATCCATATTTTAATATTTCTCCAATTATTACTTCCTTTTCATCATCTTTGCTGGATGCAAACATTTCTAGCATTCATTTAAATCCAAAATATGGATTCGACATATCTTTCCTATATAAATTTCTAAAATATTCTTTTCAGCATTCTGTTACATCAGTTTCATCCCAAATCATTTTATCACTTTTATCTCCCTTTTGTCCTAATTATTTGCACTAATCAGTCTCTTATATGCATTTTTTTCTAATCCATAGCTTCTTTCACTTCATAATTCTACTAAGCATTCTCCTGTGGTGCTTAATATTTTTTCATACAGGTCTTCTTCTTTCTTTTTTCTGCGGCCATTCTCCTTTATTCTCATTTCTATCACTTTCATTTTTTTTAATATCTATTTTTTCCCAATATCCACTCCTGACATTACCAGATAATGACCTCAGATTCAGAACTTCTCATCATCCAAGAATTTTTTTTTTACTAGTTTTCTCAGTCTTTCACTGTAAGTGATCAACTCGGTCGTGGTTTCAGATTTATATGATTCCTTTGCCACGTGTCTGCATAAATAAACTGATGCTTAAGCCATGTAAAAGAGACCTTTTTCTAAGCAGATGCTTCAAAACATTTACCATTCCTCTTCATTCTTGGGTTTGTAAATGGGATCCTACTTTTTCAGTAGCATCTCTCCACCCACCTATTCATGTCACTTAATAGCATAATTTTTCACCTAGGATCACAGGCATTCCAAAAGTTGGATAATTTTTCCCAAAACTCATTTCTGGTTCTTTCCTTATTACCGTTCACTGGAGCATACTCCTGTGCAACAATCACTAGGTTGTGAATTCTATTCTCATACATAACTACAGCAATTTAAATGACTCTTATTCAAATGTCTGAGCACACATTTTAGCTGTTTCTGGTAGAAAGTGATAAAGTTTTGATTATCCAGTCATACCTGCCATTTTGATTTTCTTGATTTCCCTTATGGATGGCCCTGCCACAAGATCAACCCACCTTCATTCAGATCTATTTCATCTTTTCCCTTCTCTTAATTTTACAGGCACACAACATATCTTTTTCTTTTTTCATTCTATATATTATTTAATTTTGTTTGTTTTGCAATGGAACCAAACTAGATGTGTGTCAGCGGAGCTCATTGATGTTGGTGTGGAGCATTTAGGATGTTGGAAATAGTTTGAAGTTGGATGTCTGAGTGTAAATGGTAGGCAGGAATGTCCTTGGGAAAGGGGGAAGAGGCACAGCCAGGAGAATGGTTGGATAAGAGCCAGCGGAACCCGCAGAAGGAATGTGGGCGTGGCAAACATCTCAGAAAGGACCTTCCATTGTTTCATGGGCTGTAAAGGCGATGGGGGAGAAATGTACCTTCAAGCTTCCAAGATTCTGTTAATGTAACCTTATAATAAAGTTAGAGCTAGTACTTCTGGGTATGCTTCTTGTCTGGACTACCTTGCAAGGCTCAGAAATATTTGAGAGCCAGCTGGATCTGCGGGCTTAACGTTATTGTTTCTGGCTGGAGCAGTTAAAGCAGCAGCAGCAGAGGCTTCAGGTGAGTGGGATTTGCAGTGGTGCCATTTATCAGCTGTGTGGCGGAAGCCAAGGGTCCACTGTTCAGATGTTGGAGGTCTTTCACAATGTGGTGGCAGCAGCAGCGGATTTGGCGCATTCTTCCCAGGCAGCAGTAGCAACAATAGCAGCAAAGTCCATGCTGTGGCTGGATTGGCACTGGGGCTTCCTAGGCTTGTGGTGCTGGGGGGACTTCAACCTGCCCTCCTCAGGAGCAGACTCGGAGGCAGCTCAGGAATTTGTGGCACATGGTAACCATAGACCTGACTCAAGTTATTTCTGCTCTGACTCACAACGGAGGCCACACATTGGACCTGTTTCTTATCTTGGGGCAGTGGTGATGTGATCTG